ATTTTATTATAGAGTTCGGATTAGCTAATAATAACTCTTTGAGAACTGAACTTTTTAACCAATTTTATATATAAGAACGGATGAGTCAGAATAGACAGAGTTGACTGTATTACTGACTATAAATTAGTATTAATAGATGCACTCAAACATATATTTTCAGATTCGGTTAATATACTTTGTAGATGATATATATCAAAAAATGTTCTAGCTAAATATAAAAAATATTTTAATCATAAAGATAACTGGAATACTTTTTTGAATTGTTGGATGAGTGTTATAAATTCGAAAACAAAAAAGGATTTTGAAATACAATAGGCAGATTTATATATGTGCTATAATGAAAATCCATTGACTAACTATCTTAAAGATATATAGTTACTATTTAAAAACCAGTTTGTTAGTGCATAGATCGATTAGCATCTTCATTTAGGCAACAAGACAACATCTTATGTAGAGGGTATATATACGGTATTAAAAAGATGCTTAAATGTTTCTACTAGCAACCTACATACTGTATCTAAAAAAATCTCATTACTATTAGAAAACCAGTATAGTGAAATTGAAGCCATGGTTGCTAAGAATAAAACCCATATTTCTTATACACAAAATACTTCATTTTATATAGTAGTAGATTGATTTCCAAAGTTTTTTTCATTTGCTTTATTAAAAGTATATGAGCAATTTCTTAAAGCCTTACAAGCAACATATAACAATCTCATTGATCAGTGTAATAGTATTTATAGTATATACATAGATCTTCCATGTATACATATTATCTAAAACTAGCTTGAAATGAATTAATTGCTAAATCTTAGTGATATTCATCACCATTGGTAGATCGAAGGTTATTAATTGTCACTACAAAATCAATCAAGAAATCTGGAATATCCATTATCACAATTATTGAATAAACTCATACAAAATGATGATTCTTGGGTTGTTTCTCAACAAATAGCAGCTCAAAATAAATTCGCTAAATTAATTAATAAACCATCTGCACTATTATTAGATCCAAAAGTTCAATATACCAGAGGGCAACCAGTTGGTTCACAGAATAAGAAAGCTAAAACTTTCACAAAGAGAGATCTATTGACTTTTGAGCTAGAAGAAATTAGAATAAATAGTAGAAAATGTAGCATGTATAAAAAAACTAGACACAATAGTCAAATGTATTCTAACTATATGATGCAAAATGAAACAGAAGATTGATTTCTAAAGTACATCACACATTTCATATTAAATTCTGGGCTTAGTCAAAAAAGTGTATAAGATTAGTATATTTATAGTATCTTATATATTAATATATATTTGATAATTAAAATGATTTATATTTGCTTGAATTGCTTAAACAAGAATTTTTCTAAATTTGAATCATAAATATTAATGCATGATGTACTATGTTATAAGAAAATAAATCAAGAAAACAAACTACCTTTAAATTCTAAATACAATTATTCAATTTGTTCTATTAATTTACTATGTATTTTTGTTTTGTCTTGGTTTTTTGTTAAACGCCAGTACAACAATTTACTAAAATTCAAAAGTTCAAGGCACGAATACAAGAAATATGTTTTTATAGTACTGTGCTTGGCACTTACAAACCTCTAGTTCTTACTTTTCATTTAATTTTTACTAGCTGTTTTATTTTAAAACAATGTTAGCCCAAGAGTTTATATTACTAATCTTAGAAAACTTTTATTCGAAGTTTGAATTTATAAAGTTTCAAGCTACCAAATGTGATTATACTAAGCAAAGTTAAGGTGGTTATGAAAAGTAAAAGAATTTTGTTTCATGAATTAAAGCACTAGATATTACTACAATACTAAGCAATATGAAATTTATATCTTAATTATTTAGTGTTAGATAATTAATTAATTATCCAACATTCAGTCATTATCTCATGTGGTTATATTGATCGCTATATTACGTGTTATGTTGATCATTACTCACATGATTACAGGGGTGTGGCAATATCAAAAAAGGGTGTGGAAATATCAATTTTCAATATATATTATATAATTATTAAAAGATATAAAAAATCAAAT